AATTTGTATAGCTAAAATTACTTGTTTGGCTTGATGTTGCATCAGATACGCTAAATATATGAATTCGGTGCCTGTGTACCACACATTATATAACCTTATCAAAGTGAGATGACGATTCTTCCCAACGAAGTAGCTTTGAGAAGCGGCTTTCGCAGACGCGTTTTTCGATAGAAATCTACAGTTTCAGTCGAACTTATCCGCCACTTTGGTTGAAATTCCTCATGGTAAATTATTTTGTCGATAAGTTGTAATAAAATTGCGTTATATGTTTTGTAGATTGATAGGAATTCTCATTTACTGACTAGTCATGGTGGTGTCCGCGTCATGTAATCTGACTGCGACACACTCTTAGCATATTGGCTGCAATGATCAGTGTTTCAGGCGGACTGTGTCAAAATATCGCTATAATGAGGAGGATTGGATAGTTGGAGGGTAATGTGATCTACACAAATAATCTACTATATGTAGAGGCTGCACCTTCCGGCATAGTATCATTCAATGAAGACTTCACGTCTGAGGACATCACTGTGGCCTATTTTCGTGTGAAGAACAGTACTATTTGACAAAAGGAATGCTATAAGTACATGGAAATCACCTATAAATGCTAACAGAACCTTCTGTAGGAACAGAAGTTATCATGTAGATGTGTCTTACTGTACACATGTTTAGACAGGAATTATCGTAAGTTGAGAGGTTATCTCCAAGTGGATTTACTGTATATATACTCTCTAGTGCAATGGATTAAATATATAAAAATATCTCAAATTTATTAATATTGTGCAATTGTCTTGTAGGATCACTGCTGGGCCTACAAATGTGGGTGGTTCTCATTATTAGTGGAAGTGCAGTGCAGTGGAGAAGGCGATTACTCTTTTAATTTTACTCATCGTTTCAGTTTATACTATTATTATTCACATGTATTGTGTCGATTATGGGAACTGAATCTAGTCAACTCTAATATTATCAATCTGCTATCTGTTATATTATTCCCACTGACACTGTATACTTAATGCTGCAATAATTTTGATCACCAACAGTGGCGATGAATTTCTGCTGAAATTTACACTCACATAAAGCAGTATCACGACTGAATGTCTAGGTTGTGTTATATGGCGTTGTTATCCTCATCAACATAAAGGGTCTGTGTATCTTTGAATATTTTAAGTGTTTCTCTATGCTGTCAACACTGTGCATGGCTGTTTAGAGTTGAGACATGTTCAGTTTATACTTGATTGCTATAGTTTCCTAAATATGGGAATGTAATTTCAGTGGGATTCACGAAACCATGTTCACTAGACATTGCTGAGATTGTGGATTAATTTCTAAGTTACACATTTGAAATACTTCTTTTAGTGCAAGTGTATTTATTGTGAATTTGATCTGCAAGTAATCTTGATGAGACAATAATACGTTAACAATATGGATTTTCCACAGACTGTCTTGATATTCGCGTATAATCCTCTAATACTGGGAACGCATGTGGTCTATTCATGCATACAGCGTCAATATAAAAACCAGATATAGGCTACAAATACTTTTATTTGTATGAGAATTTTGTTTAGTATTAACAGACTCAGTGTATTCGTATCGCATATTAGTATATAAAATTATCTCTCATAACTTCATGTTGTGTTTTATTTTTTAGTTCGTCGAACATGAAATCAGCGGAAATGTCAATCGGTCAAACTGATGCTAATACTCCTCATCAAAATTTCCTTTTGTAAATTAATGAAATGTTTAATATACTCTTAATTTCTACTTCTTCTGGACTTCCTCAATGAGTCGCTATACTTTGTGCTTTTGTAATATGTGAATTCGGTCTACTGCGTGTTAGGCCTAGTTAGTGGAATTGAGATTTACTATAGTATTATGAGACTTACTTTAGTCATTCATAAGATTTCGCTTCTGTTTCTGTACAATATCACGTTGTAAAAACTAAGTAGGACCTAGCAAGTTGAATAATAATTCTGCACTGTTCGACACTCTAAAGATTCCTTATTTAGCCAGTTGCGAGTCTGTATACTGTTAAACGCCAAGTATGCAGTTCAAGTAAGTGTAGTAACT